AAAGGTGTCTCTGAAATGTCTCTGGAATGCGGCATAGGAAGACAGCATGTGTCTGTCAGGATAACACTTGAGTCAGATTGGGCTGTTTGCCCTATTTTCTAGCTTTTTGGCTGCTGTACAGATAATAGGACCCCTCCAGAGCGGAGGAAGTCTGGCATCGAGGCAGGATTCTTTCGAGTAATACATGGCCCTGGTGGGTATTAATCCTGGTAATACAGGCAGGTGTATTTGAGTGATCCTGGAAACTAAATATAGATTTCCATGTTAAAGGTTTATTTTCTATAACAGCATTTTCTGAAATGCCAGTCTGCAGAGCCTGCAGTCACACTGTGGTGATGAGACTCACGAATGGCAGAAAAAAAGAACCCCAAGTAATTACTAATGTTGGGTTTTGGGGATCAAGCAATTGGCCAAAAAATCTTTACAAAAACATTTAAGAAGAATTTGAGGCTTTGCAATTATTTCTGCCTGCAAATCACAATGTTGTTGTATCCAAATACTACTGAACAGCCAACCATAGCTAGAATGGAGCTGACTCACCAGATTTATTCATGACTGTTCATTTATCAGAGTAACTTTATGGCTTCTGTTTGTAAGCATGACTTGCTTTTGTAGCCACAAGATCAGATCACAGTTGCATCTCATCTTGTGTTATCGCAAACGTGTCCCTGTCCTGTTTAAAATCCGTCTTTACTTGCCGTGTTTTCTCTGACTTGTGCCATGGTGGGAAAATTTTCATGGGCTTTGATTTCCCCTTAGTTCTTATTTCTCCCCTACTAGTGTTACCGTGCTGATTTGTCTTTTCCTCATGCTGTAATTGGTCGGGTGCCACTGTGTAATTTTTAACTGTGTGCAATATCAACAGACCTCCATCTGTCTCTCCTCCAGAGCTTCCCAGCCTGTCGTTATAAATACCTGCCAAATCCTTCTCCAAAGAGAGGATCACTAGATTCCAACTGTTTGCAAAATAAGAGCTGTTGCCAGAAACCCTCTCCCATCGTCAGCAACCTGTGCAGAACCTGTCCCCTGCACGTTGTGAGATGTTACTGCTGGCACTGAGGAGCTCTGACCATCGCTGTAATTTATTGTCCCTCAGAAGCAAACACGACTGCAGAGGGTTCAGTACCGTGGTCTGTTTGCTCAAATATCTCGTTGTGTGTGTGATTTTGTTAGAAAATAACCTTCAACAGCCATCAGGTAGTATAACCAAAATAACTTGAGGGTTGGGGCTTTTTTCTCCTTTAAAATGCAATTCTGATTTAAAACATGCTGTGGGATCGAGCGGTTCCAGTGCTGTTTTATGAGATACTTTACTTGACCTGGAAGGGACTCTGTGCATGCCCTTTTCCCAGGCTGTCACGTAGAGACTGGGGGCCAGTTACCATGGTCTAAAGCTGGAGTAACTGGTAGGACTTGCTCTCTGTACGCCCGTGCTGCTGCGAGCAGAGTTTGATCTTCCACACCTCTAAACATATACATCAGATAGGTCTTTAGCAGATGTAACACCAAACCAGGCAATGCATTGATTAGATTGTGCACCCTAAAAAATAGCAAGATTTCTAATCTGGATAAGGTAAAACTATGTATAAATACATTTGGATAAAGTAAAAATATACAGATTACTGTACAGTTGCCCTTTTAACACGGTTAAAGGCATTCTCATAACAGCCCATTGAATCCCGTGGTTCAAAGGTGTTTGAGGGTCATGTGGCTTTTTCAGTTCAGTTGTGTACCTTAGGCAACAATCATCACACAGACTGATGTTTTTTGGTGGTATGGCTGCTTATGTGACTGAGGAATTACCAGTGAATCTCTTGAGGTGCTGCTGCAGTCATCAAACTAGTGATAAATGTATGATGTATGTTTGAATAAAACTTGCCAGTTAAAGTCAGATCCAAGGAACGAGGTTCCTGTTCTGTCTATGGGATATTGGAATAAGTCAGCAGAAAGAGTTTTTCAGGGTTATTTCAGGGGCGGCTTTCACGCTGGATCTGCTATGGCTTAGTTCTGCAGAGCTTTGCGGAGAAACATAAGGCATGTAAAGCAGATTGAGGATTTAATAAACTCCCCTTCCAGTCTACATTCAGAATGGCCCAATATTTCCAAGAGACAGAAAAGTGGGAGCTGTAAATGTTTGACATGGACCATGGGGACTGTGGCTGGAGGGTGTTTTTCTGTGGATAAATGTAGGGAAGCACCTGAAGCACCAAAGAAATTTGGAGTTTGTTTCATGATATATAGTCAGGTTTAAAAAACACCAATGTTTCCATTGTCTAGATTACACTGTGGATTTAGTGTCCATTTTTGAAGGTTTCAGGACAACCGAGTTCATGATATTCTAGGAGGGTATGCTACCACTTAATAATACATTATGACAGGAGAGAAAGATGTACAAACAAGTCCAAGCCTGCAGGACAGCTGTACTTACTCCCAAATGAATAATATCCCCAGCTATTGCTGGGGGTGGCAGGGAGCAAATAGAAAAGTGAAATTAGAGAGACTGGACTATCCTAGCAGTGATGTGCTGACTGCCCGGCATGTCAGGCTCGCAACACAAAGGAGCTGGGCCGTGGGTCTAGCTGTGCTTGCAAGATTGAGATCTGCCCTTTATTTAAGTTTGATTTTCTGGAGCAAGATTTTCTTGTAAGGGAACAGCCATGATTTGTTTAAAGACTTCGGGAGATAAAAAGCAGATGGCATTGGTTAGCTAATTAGTAATATTTTCTGCAACTTATCAGCTGTGCAGATATGTGTAAAGTTTGCAAAAGCTTGGGATGAATCTTTCTCTCTTTGATTTGATGAAGAAATTGAATATTTTAAAAACTAAAGGGGAGGGAAAGTTATATAGAAATGTGCAAATTTTCTGCCCAAAAGAAATATGTTAATCTTTTCCTTTGAATTTATATTCAGAGCTCATTTCTTCATTTTTGAGGGGAATATGCACAACAAGGTTGCAGCTCTCCTAGCTCGTTTTTTGACTTCATGATGTATTGTGTGATGTGCCACAGGTTTCTGGCTCTCCCATATTCATCTTTGTAGGCGTGCTTCTTTTCCTTTCTCATTTATTACGGAGACAAAGCAAAACAGTATTTTTTATTTTATGCCAGGCTGACTTTTAGCTTTCCTCCTTGTGAACCCTTGGCAGCCATAGCAACACCCCAGCAGGACTTGTGACACGTGTTGGCCATCCCCCTGACCACTGTCTGTTTACAGTCGTTGGTTCTGTTTTGGCCAGAGCATCACTGGGGTGTTGGAGAACAATCTGAGTTTGAGTTTACTGGACACTAGTCAAATATCTTGATGTTGTCTCTATGATGGCAGTTGCAGATCATTTAGGGCAAGACTAAGGCTGCGAGAACTGCGCTTGTTCAGCCTGGAGAAGAGGAGGCTCCAAGGAGACCTCATTGCAGCTTTCCAGTATCTGAAGGGGGCCTACAAGGGTACTGGGAGAGGACTTTTTACAAGAGCCTGTAGTGACAGGACAAGGGGTAACGGGTACAAATTGAAATCAGGGCGGTTTAGATTAGATATCAGGAAGAAATTCTTCACAGAGAGGGTAGTGAGGCACTGGAATAGGTTGCCCAGAGAAGCTGTGGATGCCCCATCCCCGGATGTCTTCAAGGCCAGGCTGGATGTGGCTTTGAGCAACCTGGTCTAGGGGAAGGTGTCCCTGCCCATGGCAGGGGGGTTGGGACTAGATGGGGTTTAAGGTCCCTTCCAACCCAAACCATTCTATGATTCTATGATTCTAAGACAGAGTACCTCACCTAGATGTTAATACAAAGCAGAATGTCTGAGAAAAGGATCACTTTTCAAACTGTGGTGGTTGCATAGCAAATTCTTCATACAGCCAAAAAACATGAGACTCATCTGCTTTCTTCAGCAAGGTGGATACGGGAGGGCTCGTGGTCATGTAACCGTCCTGATAGTCATGGTGGTCTTTGTGGGAATGAGCGTGGGTAGACACAGCTTTGGGTTCCCAACCAGCCTTGTAATTAGGACTTGATGCAAATGCTCTGGAGGTTTGAGCTCTGCATCCACACCACCCCAAAGTTTTTCACAAGGCAAGGTCCCAATGTAGAAGCTGTATTTTAATTACCAGTGTGTAGCACGTGTGATGCAGGAGCTCTCAGCTGGCCACCTGTGACAACAGGGGATGGGAAAGAGCTTGGTTTTCCTCTTCTGGGGAACTTCAGAAACTGTGAAACAGGGCATGCTGCAGGGGAGGTGGGTCCCAGACATTGTGCTGGTCAACTGCCTGAGCTGTGCTCCATCCAAAAGCTGTCAGGACTGGAAGTTGCCTGAAGTGAGACAGAGATTTGCTCCCCTGTTATATAGAGCTTCCTATTTTCCATGGAGTTTAGTGTCGAAGCTTTAGCCTTTCTGTTTCCATCAGAATGACATTTTTTATTGGTTCTCAAACTGAAGAAACAACAAATTCTGCATCCTCTCCAGAGCACGGTCTTGTTAATGTTCTTTGAAACATGACATGTGTCGTGGCCGTCAAACTGCAATGATCTCATTTCTTGTGAAATGCGAAAAACATGTCACTTTTGGCTCTAAGTTATACAAAGGGAGAGTCACATTTGAGGTAGGAGCTGCACGGCTGCCAGAGATGAAAGAAAAATGTTATTACTTTTGGAAATTTCATAATTACAGTTAATGATAATTTAATGAAATGACATTGTCTTCACCTCTATCACTAATGAAATGTTTGAGAGTGATAAAGACAGATTTTGTTAGAGTGAGAATCTTGAGTGGAGTAGCTTTCTGACAGCAGCCTGCATGCCCAAGTCTTGAATTCCTGTTTTTTGTTACAGTAGTTTAAAAAATAAGATAAAAATGAGGGCTACATGGCAAATAATGCACCCATGAAGTATTTAAAGGCCTTCCATTTAAGAAAACAATACTGAACTCCTGAATAACATGCTGATGACTGAGTACTGCTCTTTAGAAATTCTAACCCTTCATTAAAACACTTTCCTTGTTTTTCTTTGCAGACAAACCAGGGAACAAGAAACCCCGCCTGACTTTTTTTATTTCTCAGACTATGAAAGACATAATGCAGAAATAGCAGCATTTCATTTGGACAGGCAAGTAAAATGGATTTGTATTAAAAGAAAAGTGGAAATATTGTGATAAGTTTCTGCAGTTGGCCAGCCCTATAACTGAATTACTTTTAAAAAAGGGGGAAAAGGAACAAAGGTGGGCAAATGCCATGAATAAATGAAATGCCAGATGATGAAAGGGTAGATTAATAATTAGGAAATGCAACTTGCTCTGGGAATAAGAAACCTGGCAATAAGTAATTCTCAAAAGGAAAAAGAAATTATATTGAAGAGAAGCTGAGAAATGAATTTCCCCTGTGATCTTGAAGTGCATATAGAGAGGACCCATCTCCTGGGGAATATGTAGCGTGTGACGGGAGTCTGGCTCACCCTAATTAGCTCCAGGGCATGCAAATCTGAGCGAGACGCAGGGAATCGTGTAAGTATTCAGAGAGGAATAATTGAGATGGGGAGGGAGTTCTGGTTTCACAGCAAAAAGCTGGGTCTGTCCCATATCAGGAGCATATTTAGGCCACAAGTTAGTAGGGTGGAGAGGACACTGATGGTCATCCCATGCTCCTGTTAACTGGAAATGTCCCCAGGCAGAGTTAGCCCAGGGTGTGGTGGGTACGCCAAGTCTCAGGATGGACTTCAGCCCTTCAGCCTGCCCAGATTAGAAGCAGGAATTAAGAATCAGCCAGGAGCTATGACAAGTACAGATAGAAACCATGGCGTTTCACAGGCTAAGATACAATTGAAACATCTTTCACACAGTGCCAAGAAACATCCTGCAAAAGCTTGTAGCTTTAGGGCCACAAATTATTTGTGGGTATGTGTAGTATTGCTGCCTTCTGGGTTGATGATGAGGATGAGAGAACCTATCAGTGGGTGGCACAGGGTAGATTTGCCATTAAGAGCCATCCTGGTCAGATCCTTCAAAGATCTTCTATATTTTATTGTTGTCGATGTTGATCCCTTCTGCTTTATATTTTATATTGCCATTTTAAGCAGATGTTGCTGTAGGAAAATGCATTAATGGAGCTCCTGCAGGGAGGTAGGTTAAATATCCACACGCTAAGCAGAAAATAGAGTTGCTACCCAATGCAGAAAATCTTATCAGCAGACAGTGGATTTAAAAATCCCACCTATCGAGAAGCTTTGTATAGGGACTTTGCTCTTTCACACTATGTAATAGTAATACTTCGTAGGGAGTTTTTAATGATCTTTTCAGGCAGGGGAGTTTGGAGTAGAGAAAAGCTCTTCACCCAGCCTTTGCCCATGGGAAAATTTTTAGTCTCAGGGACATTGTTTAGGTTGGTGTAAAGGTATTAGAGAGAAGCAAAAGCAGATACATCAAACAAATACTAAGACCGTCAGGAAAAAAAAAAAAACACACTGGGTTTTAGATCTCTTAGATGGTGTTTATGGAAGAAAGAGGCAGAAATCCCATTCCTCAAGTCACTTTAAAAATTGGTGAGCAAAATGCATGTTACAACAATCCTAAAATATCACAAAGTCAAAAAATAAGTTTCTATTGTCTCTTATTTCTGGAACTCTTGATTTTCGTCATGGAACAATGTGTCCCCATACTTTTCTGTATTTTTCATCTGCTCTATAGTACGTAGGCAAGTCAGAGCTGATCAGATTCAGGGCATATTTCGTAATATATTATACGAAGGATTATCCAGTTTAAAGTTGACGGGCTTTTTACTCCTTAAAGACTACAGATAAATGTGCCTTCAGAGTGTAATGAACCTTCCTAAAACCTCTCATTATCATGATATTTTAATCCTTTACATAAACTCTGTCTTTTCTTTCTCTTCTAGAATCCTGGATTTCCGTCGCGTGCCACCAGTTGCAGGTAGACTGGTTAACATGACGAGAGAAATACGAGATGTTACTCGTGACAAGAAACTGTGGAGAACATTTTTCATCTCACCAGGTAGTCTTGGAAATAACACTATATTCTTTCTATCCCACCAAACGCATACTTGAGGAAATGATGTCTAGATTGCTTAATTGCTCAGATATTTCTAATAGAACTGTCTTCTAAACCTTTGAGTAAAAATAAATGTGGAGACATAGCCTACAAAGAAGACTTTATTGTTTTGAATTGAGTGCCTTTTCCCCTTGACAGATTATCCAGAGACAGGCTTTTATGTTCACAAAAGCAATGTATTCAACAAATGTTTTATGTAGAGTAATTTCTAAAGCAATTTCTTCTGTTGCTCTCAGTTTACCCAAAACCTTATTACTTAGCCCATTAGTTATTTAGACTTTTTTTTCTACTGCAGTGTGATCTGTCACTTCTGTTGGTCAGATGCATTTATTTCTTGGTTTTGACTGGAGGATCAAAATCTAATTTTCTTAGTGTCATGAACCTCAGATTTTGTTACAACAGGAGTTTGAAAAAAATCAAGCAAATAGATGTGAAACTTATCCTGCTTCCAGCTCAAATTCTCCACTGGGTAGAGTCCAGAGTAGAAGTGACCTGAATTGTTCCCAGTCCTCCTTCTTGCTTTGAGGGCTGACCCCAGGAAGCGACACCACGCTCTATTTCTATTATTCTTCACTCTTTCACAATGTCTGCTGTCCCCAGCAAAGGGTGGAGCTCCACAGGGTAGGAATTTTACAAACACAGGGTAAAACCATGCCCTGCTCACCAGAATATACATCTAGAACAGGTAAAGGTGGGCAAAGGTTGGAAAATAGTGGTATCAGCTCTGTTTGCCAGCCGGAATGCTGAGATGGAGAAATTAAGGCTCTGAGTTAAGGCACAAAAAAACATGCTTACGTATGTTCTTAGAGAAAGAATATATAGGCAAATATTCATTGTAAAGCATGTAGCTGTGTTCCGGTGAGCTTAACTTTTATTTCAGCTGTGTGCAAATGTGCTTTGCTGAACCCAGGCTGTGACGTGTAACAGGCAATCTGGAGCAGAATTCTCCGTAGATCTCTCCCTTGCTCTACGTGTGATTGGCCAGAAGCTGTTTATCCCAGATCCCTAAAGTCAAGATCCAACAGCTTAATTACAGTTTCTCCTGACATAACTGTAATTTATTGCTGTTAGCTAATACCCAGAGCCCTGTCATGGCAGAGCTTTCTCTCTTAAAATGTTTATCACACTTTGGTGATCACCAATAAAGTCATTATTATGACTTATTTTTAGCTTAGTATTTATGTTCAGCTCTGCAGGACACACAGTTGAGCAGATAGTTATTTATTCCAGTAACTCCACTTGTAAAATACCTTACATATTTAGAAGAGGTTTCATCTTACCCTGGGTTATGAGCACTACAATTTTACATGTGCAGTCATGGGGACATTCTTCACCAAACCTGGTGGGCAGGCATTTCTGCATGCTCCAGCTAGGCACTTGTGCCTCAGTTGTTTTCTCTCCCTCTCCCCCTCTGTCTCCATTTTTTTTCTTTCCTTCATTTTTTTTGTAGGTAAACAATCACACACAAAAGATGGCAAAAAAAATCTTGTGACTGTTTATGTGCACAAGGTACTTTGACTTATTTGAAATAGAAGCCATTCTCATTTTACCAAGTAAGACACAGATTAGTAGGTTTGCTTGCTTTTTAGTCTTCATAGGTTATATATGAAGGCTTGGGGTGAACTTGAGCAATTTTTGAGAATTACAAAACTGTACTCAAGTACTGAACAGCTTACAGCAGCCACAGCAGGGCAATGCAGAGTTAAGGCTGCCGGTTCGGATGAAGATCTTTATCTTGTCATTATGAAATTCCAGACATCCAAGGGATGATCCAAGCATAAGCCTTTATTCAAATTTATTTAGAGGCCTCAGATAAATTCAATTAAAATATTTGATTAACTATGAATCAGGGTTTTCTGGAGAATAAAATGCTTAAGCAATTAATTTTTCTTTCAATTTTACATTTCCTAAATCAATATACATTGCTTAAATCATGTTGGTTACTTGTCAGAGTTCTTCCTTACAAGTCCCCAGTTTAATTAGTCAGATTCTCATTAACATATGCCCAACCTCCATCTTGTATTTCATACTGACCTTAAGAGGCAGGCATTAATTAATGCTTAATGAAAAAGTAATAAGGATCCTAAATTAAGCATTTGGAAACAAGTTCACCAACCTCGCAGGCAGCTCAAGCAGCAGATTGAGGGGAGAAAAGGGAAAAGAGGAGGGTGCTGGAATGAGCCCCGCGGCCTGGGGAGGTGGGGATGGAGAGGGACCAGGGAGCCTGGGGAAGACTGGAAGAGGCTGACTCGTCCCCTCTGGCAGATGAGGGGCACCAAAGTCATTTGGTTTTGAGGGAGAACTTGTTACAAAGCTGAGAAATTGAGATGTGCCAAGAACTGGTCTGTGCACCCGCATTAGCTATCGAGGCCCCTCTGGGGCTCCCGTTGGGGGTGGCTGTGTCTCTGCATCTCTGTCCCCAGCGGTGCTCAGTGACAATGTTCATGGGGACACATTGTGTCAGCTGGCAGTTGTGTCTCATTGTGACACTAACTGTACCTGCTGTCTCCCTCTCCGTGACCGCATATGCATCTCTTAAAATTAAACAAGCACTAATTGTAATTGATTTTATACAAAGCTCTTCCCCTGGGGCGGGGAGACCACTGTTTGCAGTGGAAATCCTCACAGGGTAAATATTGATGATGCTTATCAATACACCATGTTGTTCCCTGGACCAGTGTGGGGATGTGGTGGAAGAAACCTCACTGCATTTCCACACCTGGACCATTTCACTTGTCCCATGAGGCATGGAAGTCACTTACTGCCAGGAAGCTGCAGGCAGATATAACTTAAGAGCACGCTGCAGCGCGGCATCGCTTCTTCCACTGGAAAGTGGAAATGGCTGCGAGCAGACTGGTCAGTGGATGCATTAGGCTGTGTTCAGAGAGAAAGCAGATTGCAGAAAAGTGCACTTCCAGGCAGTTTGGACTAAACATGAGAAATGGAATTAGGTCAGTAATTATTTAAATTAATTTTACATCCTTTGCAGTAGGGCGGACTGCAGTAGCCCTGCTACTCTTGCAAATGAATGGTAATTTGCTAAGAAAAGAGAGACATATTAATGATGTCAGTCTTCGTTTTGGAAGTAATTGAGGCAGTAGCTTAAAGAAATCAATGTTACACAGCCAGTAAGCACTATGTTTTTGTTCATATTAACCAGTTCCAAGGGATTATGGATTTTTTTTCCCGCTCTCAGCAAACAATAGCTATTCTGAATTACCTATTATTCTGAGCAGGTAAAAGAGAGATCTTTTCATGCATTGCTTTAGTAAATATTCCCGATTCTTTCCAGTACTCCAATTGCATAGGCTTGCTAAATGTCCCCTGTTAACAGTCATGCAAATCTCAATAAAAGAATTGTTCTGCCAAGCAATTTGTTTTAAGGTATCTCCACTTGTTCCTTTTCTTCCAGAGAAGAATTATTGTTCAGCTATCAGGATGACGCACAGAAAATGTGCAGATGAGTACATAGACACTCTGGCTCTTAATTGTTATAATTAGTTGGAGTTTTGATCACCAGTCCATGATTTTTGCGTGGATTTCATTACGAAATGTATCCATTCATCCTCAGATAATGAAAATCAGACATTTGCAACACTGCTTGGGATTGTCTTGCATCTAGTGCTTTGGGGAAACAATTATGGTTTTTAATGAAGAAGGAGTTTGCATGTTGCAAATTCGCAGCATTTGAACATTTCAGCATGTATAAACATCCCTCCCGTTCTGGTTTGCCAGCACTGCTGCCGTTGCCGTTTCTACCCACTCTGCAGAAGCACGAATTCCTGGAGGTCACTGCTTTTGCAAGTCTGCTTAGGCACAGGGCTCTGTACAGAAAAACCTGTGTCGTATGAGAGAGGAACATAAGGGCTAGGCCATTTTAATGGGAAGAGAAGGACCACACTCCTTTTAGACCTCATCTTCCCTCTCCCTCCGATTTTTGCCTTCGAAAGGCCAAACTCTGTTCTTAGCATGGGATTGATGGCACAGCACTGGGCTCGTGTCTCTAGCTGGAATTTCATCCTCAGCCTGCTGTGCAGAATGTGGGTCACCTACTTAGGTTTCAAAGAGGCTTTCTACTGCACCTTGAAGTCTTAAATGAGAACTGTGTTTTTCTATATTTGGTACCTCTTTTTTTTCTGTGTTTTTAAGAAACCTTAAAAACCAATGTTTCCCCAGATAATTCAGGCTGCTTCCTCTCACTGCTGTATATAAGAAGTATGGTAGACAGGATGTCTATTCTGTGTCAATCAAAGCAGTTAATTTCTATAATAGTAACTTGAGATACAGCATCCCTTAACCTCCACTACCCCCAGAAATCAGACAGGAGCCGTGGAGAGAAAGTACTACAGGTCTGAGCCCACAGAGAGAATGACCAATGGCAGAAAGAACTTTGCCATGGGAAGTAACTTCTCACCGAGAAACACATTTGTGGTTTTACCCCAAGTTTGCTGTCTTAATGACAGGATGCATCCTGCTGTCGCTCAGAGGACTGGACTCCCGTTGCAGGCGTTGGGGGCTCTGTGGGAAAATCAGTAGCTGGAGGAGCCTGGCAGGAACAGGGATGCATGGCCCAGCCTGGTGCAGGCAGCACACGTGCTAGCTGTGTCACTCTGCAGCAGCGAATGCCATCACTGCCATAGCCCCCGAGCTGTCCTGAAGATTTATCTGGATACAAATGTGTGATTACTGTCAAATGATTAGTCCCAGTTGCTTTCACTGACAATACAGAGCAGGGTTTCATTGTTCCCGAAGTTAAATTCAGAAGCAAACTATTAAACACAGTATTTATCTTCCCACTGTGCAAAATGCTGTGTTTAATATAATTCCTTTTTTGAAAGGTCAGATTTACATAGTGAGCAGCAGAGGCTGCGATAGCGTGGGAAGGGCATTGCTGGGCCTGTTGCTTTTTACAAAACAGTTACAGCAGCAGATAACTGAGCATTGGCTTCCTGCTGCCAGGTGGAAGTCAGGTCATAGAAACCCTGGAAGATAAATTGTCTCAGGCGATCAAGATAAATCTGCATAGATTCGCTCCCTCCTCAGACAAACAGGTGATGCTGACACAGCTGAACCGAAACAGAAGCCCCACTGCACCTTCAAATCATTGGAATGTAAACCCTCACGCTGTCTTCCCCCCCTCCAAGGCAGCAGGCACCTGGGAAATAAGGGATTGCTTTATATCTCCTAACTGTCCTCTGCTAGCCTGCAGCAAACAGCATCTGTACATGATTTCTTGTAAATCATCCCTTGTGGCAGCCTGGAAGCCCTTGAAATACTTAATCTGCAAGAACTTTCTTTAAAGGTATAAACCACAGATGTTTTTCCCGTTTTAATTGGCTGAGAATATCCCAACCTTCCTAACAGCCTAGTATGATCCTCCTGTTTGCAGACTGCCTGCAGCTGCCAGTGCTGCCCACAGGTGCTTGGACAACTCTTCTCTTGCATCTTGAATTATGGACGAGGTTCGCAGGGGGGCATGAAACCCTCCAGGTTTTGCCAGGGTGATCAAAGGCGAAGCTGAGGCACCTGTGTTTGCCCTGAAAAAGCTATGCCAAGTCCATGCTGCAATAGCATTTGTGAAAAGGAAACTCGTGAGAGGTTATAGACTGCAGGGCAACATGCCCAGGGCTTGGTTTAAGTTGGGTTTGTCTAGATGTTAACTTTACACTTGATTTTAGACTCATGAAATAAGTGAGTCCAAAGGAGAGCCATTGAGACGGTCCTAGAGCATCTGGTGTACAATGAGAAGCTGAGGGTTTCAGGTTTGTTTAACCTGGACAAGAGGAGGCGACGTTGGTCTGACTGTGATGTTACTGCTGGCCTGAAGATGTAGCTTGGACCAGAGGCCTCCAGTCCCTTCCAACCCAGGTTTTCCTAACTGTTGTTGCTCTTTTCCCATGCAGTTGGTAAAAAGGTTTGCAAAACTTCACACTCAGATATGAGATACATTACTGCGTTTCTTAAAAGGAAAAATGAGTAGGGTTTCTATTTAGAAGTTAGTAAGGTGTATCATGTGATGAGTAGCGCCAAGATTTGTGCTGGGGTTCATAGGAAGTAGCCAAGTCAAGTGGTTTATTGGTCAAGGACATGGTCATTTCTTAGCTCATGGGAAGTCTCAAAATACTGTTCCTTTAATTAAAATGTTCAGGGACTAATTATGCCTTATATGTAAGAAAAAGCTTTTAAAATAATTTTTAAGAAAGGATATTCTGCATGGTAAATCACTTTAAATTACAAAATTAAAAGTAGAGACATGCTGAGTGCTCCTTTCCTTCCTTTTGTAGTTTCTGTTCTTTATTTTCTATTCCCTGAAGTACTTTCTTTCAGTAATTGACAGCGAGGTTTTTGACCACAGGGTAAATATTTCTGGACTGAGTCAGGATGTATTTAACTGGTATGAACCAGCCCTGCAAATGTAATTGTACAGATCAGGTTGGGGCTGTTCCTGAGCACAGGCAGATGGGTGGCCCTTATGAGTCAGTCACAACAGCGGGTTTCGAAAAGGCTGTGTCCAGAGTAAAGCAGTCACAACTTCATTGTCAAATCTGACAGCCATGAATAGTGGCTTGGAAATGAAGAGCTGAGGCAGACTGTCAAGTAGTAACACACCCGCCTTTTAGTCCAATTACACGATGTAATTCCAAGGTTAGCAGTTGATCTCGCACAATACAAGATAATACAATTAATACAATCAATTACGACCTTATTGCTCTTCCATATTCTCCTCCTCCTCCTTCCCCTGTTGCAGCTCCTTGCCCTGTTTCTCCCTGCTTCCTATTACCTCCGGAGCACCGGGACCGGTATTGCTCCCTGTCCTCTTGACTCATCCCTTCCCTCGCACGTCCCGCTGGCCCTGTGCCATCTCCACTGGCCGCTTTGCCAGCCGTAGGCTGGGTCTGGGCTGGGGGATGTCCTGTTGATGTGCTGGGCAGGGTCTGGGCTGGGGGACGTCCTGTTGATGTGCCGGGCAGCAAGCTGCAGGGCATCGCTGCAGTGGAGACCCACCAGCTCACTCTCTGGGCCACTTGCTCTTCGGCAGCAGGCAGGAAATCACCTCCCTCTATTCACCAGCGCTTCTGCCTCATCTGGACTGATCCTGCCCAAAGCAGTATTTGAATTTAGAGGCCTTGTGGGGAATTAGGAAGCAATGTGACTTCTCAGCTTCATGCATTACCATAAGGAAAGGACAGAGTCTTTCCCTCATGACATTTGATGTGCATAAAGCAATGTCAGAAGAGGTGTAGCACACTGTCAGGATGATCAGCATTGTGCTTCTGTTCTTGCTCATAGTCCAGCGTCGGTGGGGCTTGGGGATGAGCAACTCTATCCCACCTCCAGTGAATCCTGTGGGAAGGGGGTTCTTGTAAAGAAGTGGGTGTTGCTGTTGGTATAGAAATATGTGGTGGCAGCTTTGGGGAGGTGTTAAGCTAACACACACTGCAAAATCTGCTGTGGGTTCTTTTTCTGTGGTTGTTGGAGTAACGTGATGTGTGGAGCAAGAAATTTGTGTTTGGGATGTGTGCTGACAGAGTTACATCTGTGCTATTTCCACCTTCCCCATGAGACTTCATGGTAAATAATTATCCTTAGCTAAACTGCCAGTTTTTCTCATACCAGCAAGTAAATGAATGAAATGTTGTCTGTTCTTATAGAAACGAGCCAAGATTTTGAAAGGTGACTTAATTTTGGGCACATGCCACTTGTTCCAGCCTGGAGTAACAAGTATATCCCAAAGGATATATCAGTCTGGGAAAATGAAAGGAGGAGGGAAAGGATTAAAAAAAAAAAAAAAAAAAAAATATTGAGGGTTTTGGAATATAAATAGACTGGAAATATCACAGAGAGCTCAGCATAGGGTGTGATCCCAGCCACTGAAATGAACGTCTTTCTAGTGGTTTCAGTGGAAGAAAACTGTGTGTGGTAACAGGGTTTTGGGTCTGAGATTTATTTCTGCTTATACATACGTCAGTGCTTTTATGAATTCTTGATTTAAGGGTATGTTTTAAAACTCTCTTCCTTCATTTGCCAGCCAACAATATCTGCTTCTATGGGGAATGCTCCTACTACTGCTCAACAGAGCATGCCCTGTGTGGAAAACCAGATCAGATCGAAGGGTCTCTGGCTGCCTTCCTACCTGATTTGTCTTTAGCTAAGAGGAAAACCTGGAGAAACCCCTGGAGACGTTCCTACCACAAGCGCAAGAAAGCAGAGTGAGTAGTGGTGAGCAAAGGGTTTGGCAGCTGCAAAGGGCAGTAGGAAAATAAAACAGTGCTGCAGTTACTGCCCTTGCCTGATCTAAACACTGAGGCTTAGGAGAGCATCTGCATTTCTTCAGTGGGTCCAACTCCTGGGAAGGGACGGAGTACTGACACTTGCAGGCAGCTCCAGCTTATGGTCCTGAACCTGAAAGGACCTTCAATGGCATAATTCCCTCCTGGGAGAGATACCTCCCGTGGCTTTGACAGGAGGCAATGGGACCTGTCTAAGTTCTATCAGAGGGAGAAAGATTCACTGCTCTCAGCAGCCCTGAACAAATCTCAGACATTTTCATCCTATGACTGATGGTGCAGCTGGTCTCCTAAATCTTGAAGCTGTTAGCCAGATAGTTTTCAATCCTGTGTTTTTCTTCTTTTTTTCATCAGTCACAATCTTTATCAGTTGCCTGCATTACAGGAAGCAGCCTGAAGAATTTGCTGCCTCTACCTGACCCTGCCCTCAGTCAAACGTGATACAACTAGATCTTTGCAAAATAACTTTTTTTTTTTTTAATACTTAGTAAGCTTTGTATGTGACATAAAATATCAAAATATTGGCTTTTCCAGATGGGAAGTTGATCCAGATTATTGTGAAGAGGTTAAACAAACACCCCCGTATGACAGTGGGACCAGAATTCTGGATATAATGGATATGACAGTTTTTGATTTCCTAATGGGTATGTTACATCTCTTTCAAAAATTAAATGCAACATTTAATTAGAATAAGAACCATTTCTTTTTACATTGCTCTGCATAGCTCAGCAGTTTGCTAGAGTGGTTGAAGCTGCATTTACTGTATGTGCCATTCTAGATGATGATGAGAAAATGCAGATTTACATGGTTATGTATTCCCATCAGTGCAGATTAAAGGAGCAAAGATGTTCAGAAATGCAAAGTGATGATGAACACAGGTCAGGCTAGTCTCCTTCACAACAGTTAAGGGCTTCACAGTTTGCTTGAGTGAGTGCTTTACCATTGTAACGTATGGCTCCTGGATGCACATTCATTATGGGCACATTGTTTTCAACCTGCCGTAATATTCACTGCTGCTTGCTCTAGAAACTGTCAGAGAGGGAAAAAAAGGTATTGCTTTGTCACAAAGGCAACTGTGGTCTGTATCAGGAATTTTTTTTTCTTTTTATGCAATCTGATTGGAATAAAATCATTATTAACAAGCAGTTAATAACAATTAACAACAATTAACAATAGTAACAATTACTATTCCAAGCTTACTCACCGGTTAACACTGAGACATTCCCATACGATACCTTTTCTGCTGCAGCTAACATACCTGTAAAGTGCCAGCAAACATACTTGGTCCTCGGACACATGCCATCATGGACATATCCTCTGCCATTGCCACTACTGAGATTTCTGCAGTAGGCTGCAGCAGGAGAGGCCAAATCACAGCTCAGGAGCCACGTGTGGCGTCTGTAAGTGGCTCAAGACCACCCACCACGAAGACAAAATTCATAGCTTGGCACCAGTACTTTGCACATTGACCCTAAAAAGCCAATCACGTGTCTGCCTGCCATGAGTGCCCAAAGAGCTGTTAACTGTACCACTACAGCAGCATCCTGATCTATAGGTTAGAGCCATAATATCGTTTTGGCTTTCCAGGCAGCCAGAAATCTGGACAAAGTTCTCATTAGAGGAAAACCAGAGTATTTGGTTGTGGTTAAAAAAGTTTGATACAATATTAGCAAAGTTTTATGGATTAACATCGCTGCTTGAAGGATGTGTTTTCCCCTCCCTAAGCTCAGCCTTGCACCTGGCACAGGTACCATGGCTGCTCTGCACGCCCTACTGACCCAGGGCTGGAGCAGCAGAGCTTGTTCTTACCAGTGAAGCTCTGCAGCGGAGCGTAGGACATGGCTTCCTCATGGATGATCAGGCTCCCCAGGCAGTTGAGATGCCATCATACTTAAGTGGGATTTTCTTGGTGCATCTCAGGAGCCGTTGCTGGAGAGTGGGGAGGCTTGTTTTATCTCCTGATGGGTCCTCCAGAGCTTGAGTATAAACGCTACAGAGAGCTGGAAAAGCTCCCAGAGGCATAAGAGCGTATCTTCCAGCATCACACACTTTGGGCTTTCCACAGTACAAGCTGGCGAGCTGAGTAGACCCATTGTTTTCTCTGCCCTACACAGCCATCGTGTTTGGGGAGCGCTGGGCTTCTCGACGAACTGTAGCATTTACAGGGCCCTGACCTGCAGGCTCAGCTGCAAGGCAGAGTGAGAATGGTCTTTTCTTCTCTTTATTCCATAGGTAACATGGATCGACATCACTATGAAACCTTTGAGAAGTTTGGAAATGAAACATTTATTATCCACTTAGATAATGGAAGAGGGTAAATACCTTTAATGATCTTTCTGGAGAAAAAGAAAGAAACAAGTTAGTCTTTAAAACAGCCTTTATCATGTCCTTGCTCTTATCTTCTGACAGGTTTGGAAAATATTCCCATGACGAACTTTCCATATTGGTGCCTTTAAACCAGTGCTGCAGGTATGTTTTGTCTCCAGAGTCATTTCCCACTTTATACATTGTTGTCACTAACAGGATTGTGATGTTCAAGTGAATCTTTTCTCGCATGCCATGGAGAGGAGGAGCTGTTATGATCCTGCCCAGTGAGCCCGACCCGAGCTAGCCCAGAGCTTTGGCACTAACCCGTGAAGTGCTTCGCTGAGATCAGGACCTTGCAGGAGGGTGACTGTGAGCTGTTCTGAAAGAGGCTTTATTAAGACAAAATAGGTGTCCCATGGAAGTCAAGGGGCAAAACGTCCCCCAGCCTGTTCACAGGCTTCACAGCAGCTTTCCATGGTGCCCATGGCCAGGATTTTCGGAGAGGACGGGTGACGTTTCAGCTTTGCAGGCCGGGAGGCAGGTTGAGCTGGGTGTCTGTGGTGGCTCTGGGTTTTTTCCACTGCTGCCACAGCCATATCCCAGCTCCATCCCCTGTACATTGTGCATGTCACTGCCAAGATGGGCCCCACAGATGCTGCTCCAGGTCCAGCTGGTGCCTTACCCAGCTGAGGAACGCGAAGACTCTCTTCTCCTGACTGTAGAGCTATGCTCCAAAACCTCTCCACTTCTAAGGGCTCCCAAAGATCCCTGGCCTGTTGACAATGCCAGCTGCTCGTTACGACTGTGACGCTGCCTGGTTCTCATCATTTCAGATCTCACAATAAGGGTTTCCTGCTGTTGTCACTATGCTGACTATAAGCCTTTTACCCTTGTCAAAATCAAGTGATGAAAATACTGATTTGCATTTTTTTTTCTCCTTTTTCTCTTAGAATAAGGAAGTCTACCTATCTGCGATTACAGTTGTTAGCCAAGGAGGAATACAAACTCAGCCTCTTGATGAAGGAATCTTTACTAAAAGATAAAATAGCTCCTATTCTCTACCAGCCTCACTTGGAGGCGATGGACAGGCGGTTGCGGATTGTCCTCAAGGCTGTTAGTGACTGTATAGAAAAGGATGGTTATGACAATGTGGTTGAAAATGACTTTAACACTGATGTTAACACTGTTACGACCGAGAGGTAGTGAAATCGCAAGACTACGTTTTTACCAGCCAAGCAAAGAAGATTCAAAGAGGTAAAAAAAAAAAAAAGTCTTGCAAAAGACTGTGTATGCCACTTTGTGAATTCAGTGAATTCAGAAATAAGATATAATTGTTCCCAAAGTAGGTAAAGTATAGACTCTGCAAAGGATTAGTTCATTAAGAAAAATAAGTCTGATGTGATGCTTTTCATTAGTTCCTAAAGAGAGATTATGAAAAGATTCAGAAAATACTCAGTTCATTGACAGACAACAGTCTGATAGCAAAACACCTCCTGTCCTTTTTGTATAGAAAGGAGGCCTTTACTTAATATTTTGTATTTATATATGGTATATCTATGAAACCCCAAACCTACCTACCAAATTTAACTAAGAGGGACAGCATAGTTTTGTGACTCACACTTTATTTGTGGTGACAGTCCACTTAGTATTTTGTGTTAACCCTTTAAGTGCTCTAATCCACTGCATCTTATTTAAATTGAATGCTTTTTTTTTTGCCAGCTACTCAGCATTTAAAGGGTTAAGGCATTATGAACTTTAAAGGCAAAAAATAATAATAATTATTATAATAATAATAAATACAGTGGTAACCGGAAGGGAATTTCACTAATTGTGCATTGACAGGAATACTTGAATGTTGGTTTTACAGCGTGATGTAAAATGAGAAGTTGTACTATTTGTCCATAAGGAGGTGGCAGCTCTTATCTTTCTAGACTATCATAGCTGACCTGCTACTTTTCAACTTTGCTTTTGATAGTTTTGTGTAAATATATACATATATGGGTAAAAAGCTGCTTTCGGCAGCTCTAGGCTTACTTTTGCAGCATTTTTGTGGAATTGTTTGCAACGTGGTAAAAGTGCAATAAAGATATGGCAAAATGTGTAGCCATCGTGTCTAAATGGATTCATTTTTCACTGGAAATCTTGCTCAGAGCGAAGCCAGGCACACCAGCCAAGTATTCCAGAAGTGGTTGTTTAAACTGTCATCCCCTTTTGTAGCAACAGCCAATTGAGCTAAAATAGGGAATTGGTGATTAATATATATTACAGCTCCGATAAGGACCATGATGGTGCTGAAAATGGCTAATCTTTCATGTGAAAACATCACTTTGACTAGCATTTCAGCATCCTTTCCTGATGCAATTACAGCTGTAGAAACAAGCTGTGGAGCAACACCTCTGAAGGATTATGACTTGACAGGCTGCCCAGACACTTCACATACATCAGTTCCTCTGCCTTGGGTAGCAAAAGCCCTTGCACAACCAAGAAAATCTCAGCCTAAATTATCCAGAAACATATTATTTCTCAACCAAATGGTTTTGAATCATTTACAGCTGAGTTCATGTAGTGTGTGTGGAGACTTTCAACCCAAAAGCAAGCTATAAATTGAACAAGTGGCTGTATTAGATTTGTGAAAACATGGTGTGGTACAGGAGGAATCCCTCATCACTCTGTTGGGTGGAGGAGAGAATTTATTATGACAATATTCATCACAGCTGTAATTCAAAGCTGTCATTTGTTTCATTTTATGTCTTCTCAAGGATTTATAAACATATACTTCAAATGCTTGTAGCCAGACAGACTAAAATGTAGGCATTTCAGCATATTAAAATTATGAATGAAAGACTTGCTATTAGTCTCATTCACTTCTTAGGTTGATATATTATCATTAAAACACATGTATCTTTTACTATTTCACTGCCCATTTCAAATTCCCATGACACTTAACACACACGGCATACAAAGACAACATCTCTGAGTTATACAAGTGTTCACGATCTTGGAAAACTTTGTGTTACCCCATGGCTTTTCTTCACTTTGCAAGACCCACCTGTGGCAGTGAGGATGTTCTCTACAACACAGCACTTGCACTGCAGCGCTCTCTTTCTCTGTTAGCCAAAAAGCCCAAAACTTCAGAATTTTAAAAAGTAGAAGGGGTGGTGTTATCCTTGCTTTATCCTTAATGCCTGGCTGTGGTTTTCCTGCAGGTGCAGCTTTTTCTCACTGCGATTGGGCCAGGCTGGCAGACAGGGGCTATAAAATCACTGCCCCAGCACAGCTTTGCTTCTGGGGTCAGGTCAGCCGGGGGCTCTGGGTGTGCACACCTGGATTGCTTTTGGAAAGCAGCACTTGGCAGCCTCTGAGCTGAGAGAAGAGCAAATACAGCACAGGCCTTTGTTCTTCAGAAGCTGGGTTGTAGGTCAGGAACTCCTGGCAGGGTGGTTCAAGCTGAAGGCCTCTGCAGAAAGCTGCCTGGTGTTGTCAGGGATATAAACTCACTGCTGTGAACCCAGTTCTGAATTTCTATACACAGAATTAGTACTGTTTATATAGAGAAATTGAAGGTCATGCATCCTTGCCATACTGTAACCAGCTCTGTAGGGTCTCCAGTTCCTTTCCTGAGCTTCGATGCTTCCCCTTGCAAGCTCTAGACCTATAGAAGTTGTTCTTGTTTCCATCCCTAAATTACACAAAAAAGCTGAAGGGGAGGCATTTCTCTGGGATAAGACATGCAAGCATCTTGGAAAAAGGGAGATACTAGCTGAGAAGCAGAGTTTTCCTCTGTGCCCTCTGCTGAGAAATTGGGGTAATTAACCACACGTGAGCAGTGCAAGCCTAAATACGCCCCAGGGTGCTCAGGCAGTGAGTGCCATCAGCTGAGCTCAGGCATTTCGTGTGCCTGGGGGAGCTGAGGGTGTGGGATTAATCTGAGGGTTACTCCAAGATGTGGGGCTGCTTCCTGGTATCTACCAGGAAGATCTGGTGTGTTTGCACTCAGCGGTCAGGTAGGTAGAGCTTTGGCTCATGTTCGTTTTCTATGTGTTTGGGAAGGGAAAGGAATTACTACCTTGTTTGGATGTTTCTTTTCTATGTGCACAGGGGTGAGTGGGTATGACAGACAGGAGACTGGAGCGGGGAAGTGAACTTGTGACTCTGCCTTTCAGTTCCTGGGGCTAACACAGCTTGGAGAACAGCTCTGTGCAGCCCAGGGAGGGGCAAACCTCTGCTTTCGGGGTGCACCTGCATTGCCCCAAGACAGAGCTAGCAGCTGGCTTGAATTTCTCCTGAAAATCTGATGGGTTTTTGAGAGCCCTTAGGGAAGAGGTTTTGCTCTCCTGGCGTGGAATGCTTCCTTCTGCAGGCAGTGGGGGCTTTCTAAACTCACTCAGTGGTGGGTACAATCCGAGGGTGCCTTAGGACAGGGACAGCTTGTTCTTGGGGGTGCTTTTGGGGAGACAGCAGGGGTTTGTTGTGCACTTGGGCACGCGCGTGTGACAGCAGATTACCGCGGTGAGGGAGGATGGCCCTGAAAGGGCTGTCATTGCACATTAGGTCAGTAATCCATGAACGAAGGAGGATTAGCGTGACACGGTGTAACGTCTCTTTAGGAGTCCTACACATCTACCAGGCAAAAAGATTCGCTCCAAGAAAATAAATAAATGTTAGAATCCAATTGGTTTGTCTCTGAATCTCCAAAATGCTTGTAGCAGCAGCACCTAGACAATAACGTACTAAGAAATCTGCAGTAGTTTCTCGGGCATAACATATTCAGCACAATAAATACAGTATGCACAATAAATAACAGATAAAAATAGATATTATACTTCTAAAAGCACCTAATTGCAACTGTATCTGACAGCCTAGAATAGCTTACTGTATTCTCCTGAGTGATTCGGATGGGAGCCTAATTTTGTTTTGCTGTTATTTAAGCATCAAAGGAAATTCACACAAATTTAAAAACCAAAAAAAGCTCTCATTGTTTGAATTAGATATCAGTGTTGAAATCAGCAGTACTGGGCAGACCCTGTGATGTATATACAAGATGCAAGCCTGAAGGAGATTGCAACGTAAGCAACAGCAAGCAGCCTTGTGTAGGAGGAGGGAGCCTGGGATTTCAGTCTGTCGCCTTCAGGCGCTGAACTGAAAATGAACTTATGTGGGCATTAAAGGGAGGGAGTGTCCAAAGGCTATTCGTGTTCCTGCTAGTGAGGCTCTACATGGTACGTATAGGTCCAAGGGGAATGTCCTGCTCCCTTCCATTGCAGCAACTGCATCATCCCCTGAACACATCCCAACTCCACCTGAAGACTGTCCCTGTGTCAGCCCTTTTGTGGCCCCAGCCTAAGCCTATTGAGTTGCCAGCCTGGAGCTGGACACACACTAGAGCCTTGATAGTTTGCATCCTGAGGGAGAAAACTCTTCTAGTACTGAATGTATGACCACAAAATTAATTTTCCAGAAATTATTCCAGATATTGGCTGTTTCTACAGACTTTCTTGCCTGCAGTTGTTTATTAAAAGATTTGGGGCTCAGTATGCAGAAATGAACATGCACAAGGAAGGGCTTTTTTTAAACTGTAAATTGAGTGTTTGAGGGAAATACTGAGTTGCCTGGGACAAGTTTTCACATGGAATTTCAAGTTATTACCAGTTAGAAGCTGCTGGATTTCTTGAGAATACTTCATTTATGCTAAAAGCAATTCATAGGTAGCCTCCAGCCATAACTCAGTCTGTGACCAGATCAAACTGAATTATCTGCTTGCTTCTACATATGAATCGGTAAAGTACCAGTCTAATGCTTTTGGGGGCTGTCCAGAAAAAAAAAATTCAATTTGGTGGGTCAAAAGACCTGAGAACTGAGGTCAGACCAGCTCTGGTCATGGGTGAAAATGAAGCATAAGCATAAAAAGAGGCTATCGATTTGGTACCTCTTCCTCTAATGCACGGTTAGAGCATAGATTTGTGTTTAGAGATGGTCTTCAAGAGCTGCTGCAACACATGCTCTCTGCCTCTCCATTTAGAGATATTAAATACTTCCCAAGGTTTTCTATTTATGCAACTTTGATGTAGTTCACATGAAGAAGTAAGGAGATTTTGAGCAGGATGAGGGGAATGCCCACATTTGTATCCCACAAGCTGCATAAAGACTTACGTGCTGGGAGATCAGCTCCTCTCTTTCAGATGACCTTCACACACCGTCAGCCCCTGTGCCCTGTCAGGAGTAGCATGTGTTACACCTTGACTCTTGCTCAGATACGGGTCCAAACCCAGC